AGGAGAAAGCAAAAGTAATTAGGGTCACAAGGTGGCAAGTTAATAAGTCTCCGGCCCCATAGCTACCTGTGATATGAAAATAATAATATTGGCCTTCCTGGTAGCTGGCGTAAAGCAGGGCTGTCAGGCATAAAACCCGAGGGTCAAATTGGGTCATTTTATGCCCTGGGAGTTCCATGATACCCCTACCACACCTCTTCTATTAACGAACCATCTTTAGGGCTAGGAACCCAGTGTCCTTAGTCTGGGTTCAGGAAAGCAGTACCAGCTGTTAACCTTTTCATCCATTCTATTTAAACTTGCAGCACAACTGCCGTGGAGGGTGTTGAATTTGTGGTTTGTGTCCCCTAGCAGCTATGGAGAAAGGGTGTGGAATAAGTGGCAGTGGCCTTTGGCCAGTAGAAGATGATGACTCTGATCACAGGGATATTTAGGCAGCAGCTTTGGCAATGAGGAAAGGTATTTGAGGACAAGCAGTAGCAGATCAGAAGGTAGCTGAAATGGTAGAGAGCTGGTGACTGAAGTTGGTGATGCTGCCCAGTGCATGATGAGGGTAGGTGACATAAGGAAGGATGACATATATTGGCATAGGTGAGAAGTGTTTGTAAACACCAACCACAAGTCCTGTGTCTAGAACTGGCCAGCTTCACCTATCAAAACCAGTGACGTTGTGTGGAATTATGGGGCCAGGCCCTGGGTATCTGCTGGCTGATGGCCGTTCAACTCATTTGAGGCTGAAATCTCTGTTCTGTCTGTGAATTACTTAGACAATGCAGGAGGAGTGGTATTACTTAAAACAAGAAGGGATAATTGCTAAATGTGATTACATGACTAGCAAACTAATACTACTATCAAAGCAGAGTGAATGGTGTGGATCGCATTGTCTACAAATAAATTCTACCGTGTCGCAATAGTGAATGGAACTTAGGAAAAACCTTATCTTTGTCGAGAGAAATTCCTGGTATATCTGTGCAGCCTGCTTGGCTTCAGAGTGACATGGACTGGGGGGGAGGGGAAGAGCATACAACCTTTATGAAAACCTGCATAATGTTCTTTCTTCCATCAGTCTCTCTGGGGGTAATTATTAGCATACATAACCTTAAAAGTTACTTTTTAAATTAATGAGGTATTTGAGAGCAATTGGGCACCACAGTTAGTCAGATTTTTTTTTTTTTTTTACCATGTGTGTATATGGAAGAACCCCTTCATTCAAACTTCTGTTACCATCATCAAAATGTGAGTAGGGTAATTACCAGGGCAATTCTTAACCACGAGGTACCTGCATAGTTCCACCTTGCACTAGTCAGTCTCTTTGATTTGCGTAAGGATGGCCAAGATGGTCTTATAGATTTATTTCTCAGTATTGGTAGCTTAGCCGTTGCAATGCTGTGGGCCTTTGTCAAGGAACCATGTGTTCAGACAGATCAGTTTTGGTGACTGGTTGAGATAAGCAAAATGTGGCCCGTTGTCAGTAAACGGTGTTGATGTATCCAAACATATTGCTGATTTGAGAAGTTGAAGGCTAGTGTTGCCTTCAGCCATACTTGGAGATGAGCTCAGATACAGCTAAGATGCTGTAGCAGTGTGGTATTAATTGGTTGCAAATTAAAGAGTATCTCATGTGTGCCTGGTTGCTATTTTTTCTGATTTGAATGTAAAATGGAATGCTCCTGCATGGGCTTATTTTGTATATTTTTGCACAGACACAATGCAGTGCCTAGATGCTGTGCAGGTCACTGAAATCTCACATATGGCAAAACAATCAATGATCACTGAGGCTGCCCTGACCCAGATAGCCCAGGCAAGCCCAATCTGGTCAGATCTTGGAAGCTAAGCAGGGTTGACTTTGGCAAGTCGTTGGATGGGAGACCTCCTTGTAAAGCCGGAGCTGGGAGGCGGGGGCAGGCTTTATTCAGCCATGTCTCTGAATATCTTCCAGGCCCCCAGTGGGGGTCAGTCACCAGAGATTGCCCTGACTTCCAGGTGCACACGCACACACACGCACATATTAATATCACTGGGGTTAAGCTTGCCTCTGTAGCCAACACCTTGGAAAGGGTCTGTGTTCAAGTGGTGT